TTCATGACTTCTACAGGAAAAGAAAATACTGTGCCCTGATTTTCTTTCACATCCACTTTGAACTAGACAAAATGAGAATAACTTTAAATTCAGTAACCTGCAGAAAATGTCAAGCTTAGAGTGTTAATCAAAATTAAAACAAAACTGAAAAGCCATGAAATGGAGTTCTTGATTTTAACACAAGGTTGCACATGTTCTTTAGGAGGAACTGAGCGGGTCACTGATAAGGAAAATACATATAGAAGTTAAAAAAATCCCCAATTTCAGTGGGATAAACAGAAGCATAGTGGTTTCCCATAGTTGGGCTGCTCAACCCATTTCCTTGAAGAAACCAAAACTGAGAATGTTTTTATAGAACTTACCACTTGGAGCAGAGCCAAATATCCCATCCAAACATTATCAAAGTTTACGGGATAATTTGTCCATTTTCCACCATAGGAATAACAATCACTTCTGTTATTAATGAGATTGATATCTCCTTCCTGGAGTATGCATTTTGAAAATCTTTTCCCAAGCCAATTTACTCCTAGAATGTTAAATAGGAGCCAAAAGACAACACAGACGAGCAAAACATTGAGGATTGAGGGGACAGTGCCGAGGAATGAATTGACAACAACCTGAAGGAAATGAATGAAAATAATAATGCATTTTATGTTGTCATTTTCTTAAAAATCTTCAAATGCAGCCATGACAAAATATTCACACCAACCCCCAATATCTTTACCTTTATCCCTTCAAATCTTGACAAAGCTCGTAGAGGCCTCAATGCCCTAAGAGTCCTGAGAGATTTCAGGCCACTCCTGGAGGAACAAGGTGATACATCTTTGGAATCAGGATTCAGTCCCCAGGAAACAAATGACAGCTGTGTTCATAGAATTGGAGCTGGGGTTATTGAATAGTAAACAAAATTTCCCTTGTTTGTGTTAGCAAACAATTATTACCTGAATGGTACAATATCTTTGACCACTAAGTGAAATTAAAAACATGCACACCCAAAGTTATTGTAATATAATTTTGCTTCATTCTTTTCTAATATGTGCAAAAAAATTGGGTTTTCTTCATTCTAATTTAAAATTTTCTTCCTGTTTTGTTGTTGTTGTTGTTGTTGTTGAAAACCAGTTCATATAATTTTCTTGACTGCTAATATAATAACCAAGTTGCTAATTATGGTACTCTCATGCACTACCAGACCAGAAAGGATTTTTCAAAGAAAATATTCATCATTATTCTCAGAAGGGTATACAGTAATTCCTTATCATCACTTGAGATGGTGATGTGGAAAAAAAAATTATTTTAAAAAAATTTATCCATTATTTAAAATTTTTCTAAGAGAGAAAATGAAATTAAAATATTAGAAAAAATTTCAATAATTAGGGTTTTTTTTGACTGTTTATGATTTGTCTCTTCTCTCTTAGTGTGACGGTTTGGACTTGGCTCCCTGCCAAATGCCCGAAAGCTAGGACAGCAGCCCCCTTCCCCCCTTCTTTCTTCCCTTAGGTTAAAGGAGAAAGAAACTATAAAAATTAAAGAACCCACAATCAAGCTGCTTATATAAAAATATATCTATATTTACGCAAATTACAGTTATATACAGTTAAGATG